ATGTTACCTAACCGGCCTATTAGACTCGAGACACAACCTACCTTAAGACATGATTACGTATAACCAGACCTAACTTAAGGCTAACCTGACCTGATTACGTCTAATCAGACCTATAACACCGAGTCTATATGGCCCCCAACAAAGTCCTAACCAGTCCTACGATCCCGAGTCTACCTGGTCCCTCACAAAGTCTTAATCAGACCTAACTCAAGTGCTATCTAGACCCTAACAGCCCTAGTTAGACAACCAAAAGTCCTAACTAAACCAGAAATCTAATCAGACCTAAGTCAATCCTAATTGACCTAACTAACCCTTGATTAGTTACCCTAAGTCCTATTCAATCACCTAAAAGTCCTAATCAACAAACCTAAGCCAAGTCTATTGACTTACCAACCCCTGATTAGACTTTTAGTACCCTAATCAGACCTAGACTAAGCCTAATGAGACCTAATTCTCCTCTGATCAGACCTAATAAATGCCTAGAATCAACTCCTACAGATCTGTCATGATCTATACCGACCCCTACAAACTTATACCTAGTGATTCTAGACTTAACCAACCCCTAAACCAACCCGTTTTAGCCAAATCCCAACTAATCAGACTAACAGATCAAAATACCGGACTCTATGACTCAAAACAAGTACTTAGAAGTCCTATCTAGTCCTAAACTAGAAAATACATAAGTCTAAAATCAGATTCTAATCTGATCAGACCTAGACAATATCTCTATAGACATTCTAAACCTCTAATCAGACCTAACCAAGCTTATTTTGACTTAATTACCTACTGATCAGACCTCAAACATGCTAGATCAACCCAAATTTAGTTTAAACCAGACCTAACCAGACCTAAACAACACTTACAGACCTATACCGACTTAAACCAGTCTACTACAAACCTGTACCCGCCTATTTAAGTCTAACCCGACTTCTTATCCAGCTAAACGTAGTCAAATCCAACCTATTCAGACCTATATTGAACAGAAAACAGGAATCTATGACTCTTATTAGAAAAACTGAGATCTAAACAGGTCTATCCCTAGTGAATTTTTACTAAACCAAGCCAAATTGAGTACTAATCCAACCTAACAGGGTAAACTGATCACTACAGACCCTATCATACCCTGAACCAGTCCTCTATGCCCTAAACTAGACACCATCAGACCTAATTTGGACCACCTAACCCTAAACCAGTTAATTCTAGTCCTAATTGTACACTTCAGACCCTAAACCGATCAAATCTAGTCCTAAAATCACCAACTCAAACCCTAACTCGACCAATACCAGACCTGTACCGGGATCTTACCGATCTACCACCGAGCTTCCTTGACAGACCGCCGAAACGGCTCCACCGAACGCTCTCCCCAAACGCCTATTCCTCTCTCCTTCTCTCTTTTCTTCTCTGCTGCTAAGTTATGAAGTTTCGAGACCTAGGGTGAAAACCCTAACACATCGAAACGCTATGTTTCGATTAAGAGACCGAAGCCTCCCTTCGAATAGGAGGATTCTCTTTTTTCCGCCAATGGGCCTTAAGGCCCAACAGGATAGATTCAGATTAGATTGATTCGGGTTCAGGTATTTCAGATTTAAAATATTCAAATCCAATCGATAATATAATTTTAATTGGTTCGATTCGGATATATCCAAATAAATATTCGATAAGATTATCGATAAATTAATAACCAATTTGTTTATCACCGGGAACTATATTTGTTTGTTGGTAGATTAATAACCAATTTTCAAACAATCAAATTACAGTTTAAATTTTATATAACTCTATATTATTCATCAATTGTACATATATTTCATTTCAATAGGGATGGACGTTTCGGTATTCGATTCGGATTCAGATTGAGAATGATTCAGTTTGATTCTTTTGATGAAGACACGATCATCACAGAAGCGATTAAGATATGCTTCGATGCGAGGTTAAGAAAGAAGACCATGCATGGGTGATAGTGATACAGTTGAGGAGAATTAGGGATCTCGATAAAGTTAGAGACATATTTAAGCCTAAAATGCCATTAAAATTTGGATTTTGAAATCTTATTAATACAATTATATACCATATATATACACCATATAGCATGTAGACAAGTCATATTCTATATAGCTAATATAAACTGTTATATAATACATGATATCAATATATTAGTATACACATTAGTATCATGGTTATAAATGTGGACGAAAATGAAAAATTGCTGTATTTTCTGAAAGTTTTTGGCAAGTTCAAAATTTTTTTATGGGAAGTTGCAAGTTAATATTGTCTGTGGAACATTTTAAAGGATTTTTTATGGGATTTTTCTTTTAGATGGTATAGTGTGTAGTTTGATTTAGGGAAAATTTAAGCAATTTTATACTTAAAAAAATAAAAATAGGTGACCAGTAGTAACGTTGTCGTCCATAATCGCAGCGATTGAGATTTCTGGCGATTATAGGTGATTGAAAAGGTGATTGTTGAAATCGCAATCGCAACAAAACATCAATATTCTAATCGTTTGTAAAAAATTACGTTACAATAACGTTTTACAGCATTTTGGTTAAATAATCAAAATACCCATGATATTAATTAATATATATATATACACATACATATCATATTATATAGAGAAAAACCCCTAAAAATTTCTGAACTTGTATTTTGGAGTAATATTAATTCCTAAACTTGTAGAGGTGCCTATTAATTCCCAAACTTGCAAAATTGGACACGTTAAATCCTGAACTTGTTAAACGGTTCCATATTCGTCCATAGCGTTATTTGGTCAAGAAAATGAGTTGAC